TTGTTAGAATAAAAACACAAGAAATTTCTGAATTTCAATCCTGTTACTACTTACTTATGTTTATTCATCATAACCTCCGTTGTTACTATAAAAGTGCACACATTCACATCAAAATTCATACTTTTTTTTCATTTCATTGGTATAAAATAACTAAACAAAGAAACGTTCTCTTCTACACAGAATGTTTGATCGGTTGTATTATTTCATATTTTTTATTCTCATTCTACTTATTTTGAAACCTACGAATGTCTATACCGTTACTTGTAATTTCCAAGGTATCAATATTACTAAAAATGACTGAGATAAACTGTGTATGATATATTGTTTAAATTTAGAAGAAAAAACTTGTAATTCCTCCAATGGGACTTGGTGTTGTCCAGGTTGTAAAGCTTCTTAGAAAATTAAATTTATTATTTATACATTCGTTTCTCATAGATGTTTCTACCTGTGAAAGTTATAGGTCATGTCGTGTTGCTATCATCATGCCAACACTTTCTCCAGTTACAACATCAAGTATTTTTAGATCAAGAACATATGAGACTATATTCTATTCTGTGATCTGTTGAACATTGTGGAAACAGTTTCATCAAAGTCCTTTATTTCACGACGATTTAGTTAACGGAATTCCTATTAGTTACGAATAGTTCAGAATGGGCTCAATTCCGTTAGTTGGATCGTCGTAGAATAAATTGAATTTTTTGAATGATGTTAGAGTTTGCAGAATCGGATGAAACTGATTCCACAATGTTAAAATGCAACGTCATTTTTCTTAGGTACAACATCCATACTTGTTCCTGGAATTATCATCGGTGTGATATTTATCATGGCTGTTTGTCTAACTGTTGTTGGTTGTATTTGCAACATACGACGAAAGCGACATTCACGATTTTCTACTATTAATAGGATGAACCAAAGAGTTGTATATCAAAATGGACAACAATCTATAGGAGACTCGACAGTACTTTTTGATGTTCAATCTAATTATAATTCCAATACTTCAACTCCATTTCCACCAAATTCTTCTAGACCTGAAGCGCCACCACCACCTTATGAAGCTGCAAATACTAATTCTCTAATCAAATGTCCATCAGAACCGCCACCACCACCGTATGAAATAGCAACGATTGAACAGACGATAACATAACTTCAGTTGCAATTCTTATTCAACTATCTAATCAAAATCTATTTCAAGAGATAAGAATAAAAATTTCACAAATAATATTTTTCCGCACATTTGATTGCATATGAACAATTTAATAATAATAAAAAACTAATCATCTTTGTAAAAAAAAGTGTTTTTGTATTCGTTTTTTATTGTTCATATTACACATAATCATATTTTATCTACACCTCCACAATTTGTTTACAGTAGGAAAAAATGAGTCATCAACGAATGAATGAGTACGTTATAAAAATTCTTTCATATAATCCAAAGATGAATAATTTGAATGAGATAAAACCAAATCTTCAGTCTTTTTACTATAGTTTAGATAGATTGGGAGCTTGCATTACACAGATCTCCATCTATTGGCATCCTATAGTATGATGTCATATTCAATGTGAATACGATATTGGGGTCAAACATGAATGAATGTTTCTTTGGTGATCGTGATACTCAACTTATGTATTATACATCTCTCGACCTTGAAAATATTCTTGGTGATCTCAACAGTAAAGATGGGGTAACTGGTTGTCATATTATCATTTTACATCGAAATAAAGTTCTTAATCGTGCTAAAGAAACAGCGACGCAGGCACTCAAACATTATTGCATCTAACGATCATATTTTTTTCTTTGTTTATAACAGGTGTTCCATGCTCAATGATGTACATAATTATGACTTGTGTCAATCTTGATCGTATTGTATCGAACATATTGTACTTTTGAGGACGACTGATTTTCTTTACGCAGAGCCTTTGTGATTTCTACTGTAATCGTTATTCATCGACAGGAAGAAAGAAAGAAAGAAAAACATGTTATTGCAAAATAAAAACTCTGACATAGTCGTTGTGCAAGTACACGTCATTCTGACTCAGCTCCTTCACATAAAATAATATATATAAAAACATTGTAACGATACACTTGTATTATTTTCTCAAACGCATAACTTATATATGGCAACTGCTTTCGATTCGAACGTTGTGAATACCAATAATCGTTGGACTATGAAAACTTTGAACTCCGAACGATTCTTATGTAATGGTCGTTTACAAATGATATTCGATATGGAGACTGGTGATATGGATGATTTTGCTACTCTTCTTCTTCTACTCGGACATCCACTGGTCAATCTCAAGGCTATTACTGTTGTCCCTGGTACGCCTGATCAAATTGGCTTTATTCGTCATGTGTTGTCACTCTTTGGTCGAGCTGATATGCCCCTTGGTGTATTCAATATGAATGCTAAACCTGCTCTATCAAGATTTCATTATAAAGTGTACGATCCTGCATTGATACAAGAATCAAGAGTTGCACTCGATGGCGCTGATGTTCTATTGACTCATTGCGATGAAAACACAATTCTTGTATGTGGAGGACCTTTAAGCAATGTTGGTAAAGCGATTAAGACCGGACAGTTTAAAGTAGGTCGATTAGTTGTACAGGGTGGATTTGCTGGTGATAATATTGTGCCTGATAAGAAACGAATAAATAGGTTCAGAGGCCTAATCACTGCTCCAGCGTTCAATTTAGATGGAGATATCGAGTCAACTATGGCTGTATTACGTTGCACGTCCATTGACGAGAAATTCTTTGTTTCAAAAAACGTCTGTCACAAAGTACATTACACGAGAGATACTCACAAGGATCTCGGATCAATTAAAAACAAAAGTTTATCGTTGAAAGAAATACATCGTGTTATGGGAATTTATCTGCAGCGGTCGGATATATACGGGAAAATATTTCACGATCCTTTCGCAGCATGTTGTGCAATCGATCCAACCATTGGCGAATGGCGAGATGTTGAATTATATCGAGATGAAAATACAAATGAATGGGGATCACGAATAGTCGCTCAACCGAATATCAAGATCATTGTAGACTATAATCGAACAAAGTTTCTGGATACACTTTTTGCATATGCAGAATAGAGTTTTTTATTCCGATTCCGACTACCGCTTCGAAAACCTTTTTTGTAGTGCAGCCACTCGAGAACTGCGGCGTCGGATTTCGGAGGGCAGTGCAGTTCTCTAGTCGTAATGATGATGTTTTTTTGCTTCGATTGATTATAAAATTTGAGTGGCTATGCTAAATACATAATTACCACTCGTTTCCAATGAATTCGATCATGTAAAACATTTGATTTATCGTGCAAAATCTCTATAACAACACTTCAAAAGCAAGATTAATGATTTTACTTGATTCAACTAAACTTTGTTTACTAATTATTTAATTTGTCTAATATATTTTAAATCCAAAATTATTCAGACAATCTTTCCATGTATGACAAGTCACTATTCACTCAACTTGTCAAATGTCTTGTCATTTCATCAGATTAAAAAAGTCGGTTAATTGTAAATAAATAGGTTAAATAATTTTTTTTAATAATAAAAAAGGGTTTTGGAAAATAATTAACTAATACTACACAAAAAAAAGTTTTTTTCTGTCGTTTTATAAATTATGCTTGAGAAATTCCTTCAGTTTGTCTTTTCTTAATGAATAGAGTATTAGGATTTCTTCCTACAGCCATTGACATACGATATTGATTTGTCGCAGTTTGATCGCGCTGTTGTGGAATCCTTGGCATATATCTTTCTAAAGCAAGCGATGTCAAAATAAATTTTATAACTCGTAAAAATATACGTTTTGTTTCAATACGAAAAATAGGTCCAGCTAATGTATAAATAAAAAATCCAACAACTGGATTAAAATATATAAAAACACGAGCTAATGTGTCAGCAAATGTATTAATAACCATAAAAGATGATGATCGAGAAAAATTTGCTACAATTGCATTAAAAAGAGTATCAAATGCAAATGGAGCTGTGCATATAATACTAACAATGACTTGAATTAAAAGCATTTTCATCAATTCACGATCTTGTGTACGTAAACGTTCATTTCTTACATTATTGTTTTGAGGTACAACTTGAATACGAACTTTTCGAATATTTAAAATAGTTAATAAACCAAATATACCCATGAAAATCGGTGGTAATAAACATGTAAAAATAAGAAAGAATATTGAAAATATTATTGGATATATCTGTCCAACACTCGCACAAGTTAATACTGTACCTTTATAATAGGATGTATACCAAATTAATGTATGAAAATGTATTAAAAATATTAATGAAATAGTTATTAAAATAATCTTTCGAGCTGTAGATACATTACTCAATTGACGTAAACGAATGTTACGAGAACTTATAAGATATCGATCAAAACTTGCAAGAACAATTGACCATTGATCAAGACTAAGAAAAATATACACAAAATATATACGTAATTTACAAAGAATAACACTTGTATTGGAGAAATCTATTTGCCATCCACTTGAAAGTAGGCGTGAAAGTAAACTACTATATAGAAAAAAAATATTACCAATTGATGAAGCTAAAAAATAAAGTGAACATGGATTGTTACGAAGAGTACGACGAGTAAATATTAATATATTCATTAGATTTCCAAATGTACCAACAATAAGTTGAATACTTAGAATAATACGATTGACTTCAATTGTAATCGAAGGTAATCTTGCAATAATATCATCACTCATTTCTAGTCAAATGATAATATGATAGATAAAAGTAATATTTCTCTTTTAACGACTGACTTGTTCTATTTATTCAAATGAGAATGAATGACATATTTCTTCTATAATCATCCTTGTCAGATTATCTTTTTTCCGTATTTTTCTTTTTATAAAATAAATAAATCTTATACATTTCATTATCATACTAACATAAAAAAACTACGAAGTTTTTAATATTATTATGTCACTTAAATGAAATAGTTCGTTGATTATTCTACGATAAATTATAGATTCATCTAACTTTTCTTTACTATTGGCTCCAAAATAATTTTTAAATAAGTATATATTCAATAATCATTCATTAAGATCATACTTCTGAAATTGCGTTAGTAACTTTATTTGATCTATCCTTCTGTCTATCTTTTTTTTAAATCTTTTTAACATCAACTTATTAGTTTTTTTATCGGATTAAGATGTTTTTTATTTTGACGCGCATTATATATTTCAGACATTAAGTCAAAAATTTACTTTTGTTTGTCTGACTTACAGTAGGACGTGTAAACCCACGTATTCTTTATCGTCAATAAATGTGACGCAAATAGTGCAGCTTGAAGAAGGAAAAAGAAATGAGTAATAGGTTTGCGCACTATCTAAAAATAAGATTTGATATGACGCATATCAATATATGTGAACGAAGGGCGTGCCTATTTCGAACTAATATTAAGTAAATAAATACACGCACTTTTTCATAATTGCTCATACTGAATAATTCTCATTCTCATTCAATCAACTTCGAATACAAGCGAGATGCGTTTCTTTTTGAATTTCCTCTTGATTATATTTGTTTGTTCGGCATTTGCAGTTGTTATGCATAAAAAGGGACATCACACTAACCATCACTATGGTAAATTCAAATCTTTTGTTTGCTAATTTATTTATTCATCGTATAGGAAAGTGTCCTGGTAATAATTATACCACTCCGTGTGGTGTATTCAACTGTCCGATGAAACCAGTTGACAATCCATGTCAGAATGGACCTACTGGCTGTTGTACAAACGATACTGCATGTTCCCAAGGCGAAAAATGTTGTTCATCAGGCTGTAGCTGTTACAGTACGTGTACCAAGACTGTCCACGGCTAGTTCAATCATGCATACATATTGTGTCTTCTCAACTGTAAACGTACACCGAAAATTAAAAAAAAACTTTTTGTCTATGTTTCATTGGTTTTCTAACTCTTGTAAATTTATTAATATTTGTTTTAATAAAACTTATCATTAGAGTACTCTTTTAACAACACAAAAAGAATAGTAATATATAATTGACGAACATGTTACATGAAAGGAAAGAGATGATCTCGTTTCAAAAGCTGCGTGTTCACATATATGTAAACAGAACTTTCTTGGTAAATAGAAAGGAAGTTAGACCCAAATTCGACAAAATCCTGTATTGATTCGCCTAGACACTTGTTTCAAGTACAACTCGATAAGTTTTATCCAATGATATGATTAGATTTTCTTAACCAAATTTGAGAAGATCAAAGTTTTGAATCCGTAATATGAATCTGATTGAATTTCAATACTTGGTTAAATATCAGCAAAGTTGAAACCAATTAGTCATATTAAACGATATGATCGAAGAAATTACATATCGTACAATTATATTAAATAATGTTAATCAATACATTTTCATTAAAAAGACAATTAATCGTTTCACTTCAGTATACTGCTAGCGATGTCTATCAATAATTTTTTCTGTCATTAATTACCCACACTCACACTCTATAGATAAATGAAAAGTGAAAAAAGTTTTCAGACATCTTCCGATTTATTGAAGATAATTGTAGCTGATATATTGTATATTAAATTACAATCGAAAATTGATCATAAGTACTTCTATCATGTTCAAGTAAATACTCATATTGCAGACGTTTCTGCATTTTGTCCACAGAAACAGTGACACGTCCATATCCATATGCGAGCATTCGGGATATACTCCACCAAGGCTGTGGTTCTATCCATTTATCGTTATCGAATGTTCCACCAGTTCCTTGTACAATAATGACAGGAGAATTAACATTGGCATATGTGTTATTGACAATGGTTGTTGTATTGTCATAGAATACTCGTTCATATACATGCATGTGACCTGTAATGACCAGTTGAACTTGATATTTAACAAATAAAGGATAAACTGTTTCAAATAAAGGCGAAGTCGGTAAGTGTTGACTAAAAATAAACAAAATGATTTGAAAAGATAATTGTGTAAGAAAGTACTAAACATACTCGAGTTCAGATGCATCTGAACACAATAAAGGTCTATGTGTAACAACGATAACGAACGGTTGTTGTGCACGATTTTCATTAGCCTTAGCCAGATCATTAATAAGCCATGCATACTGAACACTACTTTTGCTATAGTCATGCTTCAAAATAAAGAAAAATCGTATATCTGTGTGTATACATGATAAAGGTAGTTTACCTGTGAGCTCAATGAGACCCAATGAACCGGACCGATATTGAAGCTGAACCAGAAATTGTCTAAACCGGCACTTTCAGGACCAGGCATACGAAATCGATTACGATAGACTGTATAATTGTAGTAAGCTTCGTGATTACCTACATTTGTCATATATGGTACTATCGATGAGATTGGCTCTACTTGTCTTCCCCAAGCATCCCAAATTTCCTAAACGAAGTTAAGAAGAAACAGAGAAAGGTTTTTATTATCTTCTATATGGACGTACAGAGATCTCGTCTGTTGAACCAGTACCAGCATAGCTAATATCACCCACGTGCACGACACTTGAGAACGGTGTAATCTGATGATCCTCTTTGATCTGTTTAGTTACAAGAAAACCGGCTGGAATAATAGTACCCATGTCGCCCATAACAGCAAATATGTGTGTTGAAGCGTTCGAGCAGTCTGTTTTAAAACTGTTCTCGTCTGACCATGCATTGGCGTTTCCAACTCTGAATAGTAAAAGAATGAATGAAACCGATAAAAGGTCAAACCATTGTATATTTACCGGTAGTAATATGTCTGACATTGTTTTAACTCTGTCATCCAAGCCTCAAAAATAGTTCCTTTCCATCCACCAATTCCGACATCATAAGTACGATTCGTAGCCGCCTGCATATGGGTGTAGTTACCACTAATAGTTCCATATCGAACTAAAGACGATGGTTCATGCTTACTCTCACTACCTTTTACAATCCATATGACGATCATAGTAGACCAAGTACCATCAGCGAGTAAAGATAGATGAATTTGCTAAGAAAAATAGAAAAAAATATTTCACTAAAACTCAAATACAAGGAACGAACTTGTGGAGCGTTTCTTGCCGTGACAGTGTCAAGTTCTGCGTAGGTTTTACGAAATTGTTGCCAAGAAATAGTGAAAGGTTGTTCTTCTTCGTTTATCTCAAGTTTCATGGTACGTTTCATTCTACGAACTATATGGTTGAGATCTGGCATAGCGTCTTCCGGTTCGATGTTATGAAAGTAATTTTGTAATTCATAGACATCAAGTTCTTCATTTGCATTTACATCAACACGTCGAAATATCATTCGAAGTGGTGATTCGTCGACTACAAAAGAAACAAGCAGATCAGTCAAGAATCAAATGTAAAAAAACGTACCTTGATTCAGTGGGTTAGCATTTAGTAGCGTTATTATTAAAAACGAACATAAGAAATAGGAAGTTAATTCCATCTTCGTAAATCACCTTACAGTTTTTAATTTATAAAAGTGCAAGTTTTTGAATAAATAGAATACTTATATCTATTGCGCTCGTAAAAAAAAGAATGAAAGAAAAAATTAGATGAAGTCGTATCACTGCATATTGTCTTAGTCTGATAAGTAAAGCAAAACAAGCTTTTTCTCGAACGATGGAGAGAAAAAGCGATAAGAACTAACCTATTATGACAGTGACGCGTAAATAAGAGGTATGCATTGTTTTTACCTTCAGTTTTATCAATTTTTTAAAATCTAACTCGCCAAGATTTGGATCAATGGATTGCAGAAGTCAAAAAGAGCTATCCAATAGCATTAGCAATTAATCCATGCAAGTAAAGTGAAATGTATTAAGCAAAACGAATTTATCAAAATTTGAATAGAGCTTAATTACTTGCATCTATAGCATTCAAACAGTTGGCTGCCATGTTGATAAAATGATCAGAATTGCTGATAATAACTTTGTTGATCAACGAATTGTTGACAACAAATATTTAATATTTTGCACACTCTATGTGAATGTCTGACCTGTTTGATGTCGAAAGCTTTTTAATTAAATTTTATAACTGATTGCTATCTCATAAGATAGTTTTTTTAAATAGAGAAATCAAAATTACAACGTCTTCTTTTATTTGATAATTACTGTTTGGAAAAGCTCTAGCATAACATCACATAAGTACAAGTCAATATTGTGAATGATGTAATCACATTTATATTCAATGTAATCTCTTTGAGATGCCACAATGATGTTATGACAAAAACTAAGAATGAATATCAAGTATTCTGTCGACAAATCGATTTGAATGTCGATTCTATTGATGTGGAATTTTCATCTCTGCTCATAACTACTCCATACTCATATCTATGCGTATTAACCTTCATATCACCACACAGTATCCAAGCGAACGCCAAAACAGCTATATTTTACCTAAGTCTCACGTAGTCGTAGGTTCATTCTTGCACTTCTAGATACACATCAAAGAATACTAGTCTACACCAATCGCCGACCTTATCGCATTCGTTTCAGGTTCTTGTTTTTCTTGATTTTCAGACAAGATTCTTTTCTGATGCTTGTTTTTCTTCCTTGAATTCTTATCCTTCTTGATTTTCTTGTCTGTTTCTGATTATATTTAAAAAGCCTTTTTCAGATTATTAATATATCATTTTCATTTCATTTTATTATAAGCTATCCAAACGATATACAAAAAAATGTAAAAGAACAAAAACTACTTTAAATTTCACATATTTTTGAAGTAGTTTCAATCTTTAATAAAAAAAAAAGAACAATATAAAAAAAACTTATTTTTTTCCAATTTCATTATTATCGTGAGCATCTGGTATTTTTTGGCTTGTTGTTGTTGTCGTGTTTCATTTACTTGTAATGAATTTTTTATTGTTTGATTATTTGTAAAAATAGCTGCTGGATGAAGTTCATGAACGTATGCTAAATAATCTTTAAAACAATGAATATTCAAATATTAAAAGTAATCAACGTTTTAAATATATCTTACATAACAATATATCAAATTCATCTGGTTGTAGATCGTTGAATGATGCTATATCATCATATCCAGCACGTACTAAAGATCGAACAGTCATTTTCAATGATGCACCACGTTGAATATGAGACACATCAATTCCATTTTATTCTTGCAAGTAACGAAAATATCCATTAACAAGTATTTTACACTTTGTATGTGATGATAGTTCTAAAAAAAAAGAAGATATAAAGTCGACATTAAATTTTACCTATACGAAGAGGATTATTAAACAATAGTTTTATAAATGAATCGATATTTTCTTCGTCAATTATATGTAATACTTTCGTCGATAGTGAAAAAATCTAGAAAAAAAATAGAATATAGAGATTCGAATATGAAAAACATCGAAATGTGTTTAATAAGGATTGTTTTCTTGATATCAAATAAACTTTCACTATATATCCAATTAAAATAATAACTTACTAGATGTCGTTTAAATTAAATAAATGCTTTAGGAAAAGAAAATAATCTAAATGAATTTGTACTATACTTATCAAGTCAATAATGATTATGAATAAATAACATTCAAATAATGCTTTTATATATGTTATAAACAAAGACCATATCACATGTTGTTCATCTTGGAAAGCTAACAAGAATCTTGTCTAAAAATCAATAACCTAGAAAGAATCGGGCAAGATCGGCAACTGGTGATACTGATCCGTCACAGAGAATGAAAGAATATGAAAGAAAAGGATAATAATGGCAAAAATAATCTGAGTACAAAGTATCGCATGATGTACGAAATAAGGATAAAAAAGATAAGGATAATATAGAATGAGAAGAAAAAGTAAGAAGGGAACAAATATCGTTATAATAAAGATGTCAAAATTATCAGTACAATACATAAATAAAATATATCATTTTAATAAAGATATCAAAACTATCGTTAGAATAAGAATAGAAAAATTATCGTTATAATAAAGATATCAAAATTTTTCTAAATTTAACATTTATCGAAAGATCTTTAAGGACGAATATGAGTTTTGGTACATTCTTTCATCTTCTTTTTATTCTCAGTACTTTTCTTAATGTATGTGAACTTTGAAATGACATGATTAATGTGTTTTTCTATTACGCACATTTCTCTTCTGCATGCGATTAATGAATGACTCTTTTGTGTATGATGTGATTTAATGTTTGCTCTTCTTCACGTGTTTGTCCTTAAATCCGGTACTTTTTTGATGACCACCTGACGATCATTACTTATAGTATATAAGGAACGATAAAAGTATGATTCTCAATATTCGAAATCAACACTTTATCTGACGATTCTTTATTCAAATAATCTTTTCATATTACTTTTGTTACGGTCGTAATTCTTGGGTAAGATTAATTTTTTGCTTATTAAATTTTGTTTTCTTCCTATATAAAGATTTTCACTAAAATTCATTCATTATATATTGTGAAGTAATCATCATTCGGAATAGTCTGACAATATGATACTTTTAAATTTTCTCTTCATTGAGTCAACGAATTCCTGAATTTTGCAAATAGTTGAACTCATTCGTCGTTTAGAATGTCAAAAGTTTTTATAAAGGACATGCTCATATAAGAAAAAGTATTGATCTATCTTAAATCTTTCAAAGATATGCCAACACCTTTTCTTATAGATTCCTACCCTTTTAAAGTATGACTTGAGAGATCTCTGACTTCTCCAACTCTATCGTGTTCGAAAAAGACAAAATATCTATATTGAGAAAGAATTATTTACATGAAATATATTTGTTTTTTTCTTAGAATTTGGAATATACACGCATTTGTTATCATTTGCATTGCTATTTAAATGTCTCGACTGGTATTATTTATTCTTTTGGTGTTTGTTTATTTGTGTAATTCACAATATCCACCATCTCCATTTGGCAAACCGCAAGATATTTGTCCAACAGGAAATAATCAACCATATAAGGTTGATAATTTTGTAGGAACACCATTTATTTTGACACCATTCACGAATGTTTTTACAAATCCAACGATTCTTAATGCATCAACTAAAACTTGTCGTCCAGATGGACATTGTATGTTTGCTTATACAATTGATATTTATGATACAACATTAAGACCTTTTGATCAAGCAGTGGCTGAATGTACAAAAAAAGGAGGAACAAAATTTTTAACTTATAATGGTTTAATACCAGGACCAACACTTCGTGTTGCTGCAGGACATGAATCAATTGTTCGATTCAATAATAAAATCAATAAATTATTTCCACAAAGTTTTTCTCCTTGTAATGGAAGTAGAAGAGGTCGACCAATTAGTGTTCATCATCATGGTTCAGCAAGTATTCCACCGTATGATGGATGGGCTGAAGATGAAACTTGTTATTTAGAAACAAAAGAATATGTATATCCAAATAATCGTCCAGCAACTAATTGGTATCATGATCATGCACTTCATATTACAGCTGATAATGCTTATCTTGGTCTTGCTGGTTTACATTTAGTAACTTCAAAATTACAATATGGTGGATGTGGTGAACCATGGAATTTAGAAGATATTGAAGAAAAACATCTTATTCTACAAGATAAAGTACTTGATGCTAATTGTCAATTATTTATTGATCCAGAAAAAGCACGTAACATAAGTTTATATGGTGATATAAATTTAGTATCTGGAATTCCATTTCCACGAATGCCTCTTGAACCAAAATGGTATCGTTTTCGAATTCTAAATGCTGCAGTATCTCGTCCATGGTTATTGAAAATTTTCAATTCAAAATATGAAGATATTTCCAAAACATATTGTAAAATAATTGCATCTGATGGAGGATATCGAATAACACCTATACCATTTCCAGATACAGGATTATTAGTTGGTGTTGCTGAAAGATATGAATTTGTATGTGATTTTACAACATTTGCAAATCAAATTTTATATTTATGGAATGATAAAAATAATGATTGGATGCAAGGTGTACCTTATTTTTGTTATAGTCATTTACTTTCAAAACTTGAAATAGCTCCTACAACATCTGATTCACCACCACAATTTAATGAAAATATGCCAATGCCAATACCAGAAAGAACAATAACACGTGTTTTAAATATGTCGGATTATGATACAGCACTACAAATGGCAAATAAAGGTAAATTTCATCGACAAATGGTATTTTCACAAAGTAATAATAAATGGATGATTAATGGTGAAACTTGGGATTCATTTAAAATTGCTGCTGCTGATGTTGGACAAAATACATGGGAACTTTGGTATTTTCAAACTGGTGGTGGATGGTTTCATCCTGTTCATGTCCATCTTGTTGATTTTTATATGATTAAACGTGAAGGTTCGGGTGGTATAAGAAGTTTTGAATCAATGGCAGCAAAAGATGTACTTTATCTTGGTGCAAGTAATAAAATTTATGTTTTAGCAAGATTTGGTCCTCATAAAGGTGATTATATGTTTCATTGTCATAATCTTATTCATGAAGATAATGATATGATGAGAGCATATCGTATTATTGATAGTCAAAATGGAATCAATGCTGGATCAGCACAACCATTTATTCTTAATGGTTTTGCAAAAATTGTTTATAGTAATTGGTTATATGCTGATCCAATGTTAAATCTTACTGCTGCACAACCAACAGTCAACATGCCAACATTTAATTCAGCTTATAAACAAAAAATGTTAGATATGAATATTTATAGAATCTTTTATCCAAGAAATGAGACTGATATTCCTTTAAATGGTTTTACAAATCCTTGGAGATCAACTTGGTGTCCAGCATAAGATCATTCAAAAGTATAATTGAAAAAAAATAAACATTAAAATTTTAATTTTCTTTCTTTCCTTCTTTCTCTTCATCTCTTCAATTAATCAGAAAATATCTATACATGATTATCATCTGTATTGTGATTTCCTTCTTTAGTTTCTCTTTCTTTATTGTTTTTTTTAACTTTTTTTTTCGAAAATAAAATATCCATTATCTAATTTATTTCATTATTCATTACATGTGTTAAGATACAACAGAAGGTAAGATGAAAGTGTGTGTGTATATGAAGTACTACAACTACTTTCATTGTTGTGAAGCGACTTATTAGATAACAAAATTTCTAGTTAAATTCTTAAAATTAAACCAAGATAACAATACTTTGAGAGTACAGATATGGATGATTGAAAGTACGAGTATGGCGTTGATGTGTATATTTGGGTACAGTTGTATTCTACTCATACCCACATCTTATTTTAATAAGAAAATAGATAATTTATTCATTTCCATGATAATAGTATCGTAATAATACAGAAAAGAATAAAGATTGTTTCACAAACTGGATATACTTAGATTTTTGACTGTAGAGTATAGTAGATATATGATTCTATTTTTAATATAAAGATATTTGTATTGTAATGGAGAAAAGAATATAACAAGACAAAACATTGTTTTCTTGTGTAAAAGTATAAAATAATCTTGAATTATTATGATATGACAAATCTATTGAGTACATTATTTATTGAGAAATACGATACATAACTATATGCTCTGTTCAATGAATTTATTGAAATAGATTGATATATTCTTGATTTTAACATAAATTTCAAAATTTAATTTTTGACGAACGATCTATACTGTAGCAGTTAAACTTTGTATTATGAAAAAAAGCACAAAAATATTAATAAAGTTTATATGTTATTTCATATAAGAAAAGCATATATGATCACATGACAATTTTCTTAAAGATAAGGAATGACATTCTATAGTATAAAAGCCTTTTTTTCTCTAATTATGATGTATCAAATACGAATATTAATTGTTTTATATAAAGAGCAAAATTTTTCTTACAAAATTTAATTACAACGATGTATTTCATATTCGTTTCTGTTTTATTTATTTTGTTATTAAAAAAGAAGAAAATCTTCCACCCGGTCCAACAATTTATTCTATTCTAATACTTGGCTATTTATATTCACTTGGTAAACATCCTCCAGAAATGTTATTAAAATCGTGTTAAAATCGTTCAAATGATATAATTCATTGTTATTTTGGACAAGAATGAGTAATTATAATAATCCTCATATGACCACCTAGGATTAAAGCGGACCCCAAGACACTTCTATTTTACCCAGATCTCACATTTCTAGATATCTATCAAAGAATATGAGTCTAACTTATTGATGATATCAACGTCTTCGATTTCAACATCTGTGATGCAATAAGATAGATTGAAATATCTATGTACTTGTTTTCATCGCTTGGACTTCGAATGAACTCCATAGAGTAGAGTTAATTACACCTATATTATTGATGAGATATTACTTGAATTCGATCTCTGATGAACTCATTGATGTGTATAAAATATTTTTGTGTTATATCATGAACATTCAAAAGTGAATGGAACTTCATTTTTGTATCATCCTAAAATTCATAGTTTGGTGGAGATAATAAAGAATAAAGATCATAAGAAAATTATATATAAAAATATTCTTTCTTTTTAATTTTATCTATAGCGATGTTTTATACATAATTGTAATCTTTTCTTTACAACTTGATAGAAATTTTACTCTCACTGTTTGTCTAACTCAAAGTTATGGTGGGGTCCACATGGATCTCAATGAAGAGAACCATCAGTGTTGGACAAGTGGTGATATGAGAGCTAATCGAAGCATGTAAATTGTTTTTTTCCTTTTCTAATAACTATAATAAAATAGATGTATAATAAACACTTTACTGCAATTTGATGAAAAGAATGAAAGTTTTTGTTTCCTGGTTTTGTCGTTTTTAATAAAGTCATTACTGACGATGATTTGACTGTAGGCTCAAAAAAGTATAATAGTTTCTTTTTCTTTTCTTTATTATATATGAAAATATAGCAGACGATGCTGTGACTGAAACTTCAAGAATGTGTAGTAGTTTTTTTCTTTTATCCTTTACGAAGACATAACTGACGATGATTTTACTGTACGCTTTGGAAAAGAACAACACACTTCTTTCTTTCTTTCTTGTTAATGATGAAAGTGATAAATGACGAACACTACCGCAAATTTAAAAAAAGAAAGACTTTTCTTTTCTTCATATAGTATTTGTTTATAAGTAGCAGGCTTGATGCTTTCCACGAGTTTCTAAAAAGTCATATGATTTCCAAAATTTGTTGATTTTCTGGTAAGTTATATAAAATACCATAAAAATCGTTATAGAGCACGAATGATTTATGAACTTCGAATGATAAAATGAAGGAAAATTTTCTGTATACAAAAATATCAAACATATGTGTATCAATATGTGATGTATTATTCATTTTTGAAGAGACAAAAAAGAACGTCTGAAAATGTATTTATATTGTCAGTCAAATTCGAAACCTCACACAAGTGACTGAAAACTAAAGTTGAAGAATATCGATGTATACTCGAACAAAATTTAAAAAATTAGGATTTTTGAATAATTCTTGTTTTTTTATATAATTTTCTTTTAGACTCTTCTACTTTTACAATTTTCTGTTTGCCGTTAATGACGGGCAGAGGTTTTAGACCGCTTCGCGCGATTTTTTTGAGATTCTTTGGCACATATATTACTGTCAAGGAAATTGAAGTACGTAATACATACATTGCAGTCATCCATCGTATCCTTCAATTTTTAGTTGCTACTTACATTTTTCTGTAAGTTACATATATATATATGTATAGTAACTTCATAAATATTTCTCTTTCTAGTTATATCGTATGGATAAAAAAGGGATATCAAGATGTTCAAGAACCATATGGCTCGAGTATTAGTAAAGTGAAAGGCATAGCACGAGTTTCAATTAGTAATTCAAATTTTAATGATGGTAAATTTCATTGATTTAGCATCGAATAGAAAATGACTTTAGTTGATGTTTATGAACATTTTTAGATAACGTCAAACAATCGTTATGGGATGCAGCTGACTATCTAATTCCTCCTATAGTATGTAGTTTTGTTCATTGAATTTTAAAACTAATATATATTTTCTAGGAAAACAATGCTTTTTTCATTGCTACTCGTAAAACAGTTACTTATAAACAAACAGTAGGTACATGTGCAAGTGTAAGTTAAACAATCGAATATACTTTATATGATATACTATTACATTTGAGTATAGGCTATGAGTGAAAAATTATTTTGTAATTCGACACAAAATCCATGTGAAAAAGGTCTTCCAGCACCTAATTCATTAGGTATGTGTTGATTTATGATAATAATTTTTTTACATCATAGGTAGAATCTTTGATCTTATACAGGTGTTTTGACTGGAAACTGTGTACCAGTTAAGAAAAATATGAAAAAAAAAGTTTGTGAAATAAATGCATGGTGTCCAGAAGAACTTACAGATTCAATGTAAGATTTTATTTATCATTCTTTTCTGCACATTCATTATTTTTTTTCTTAAAAGACATTATAAAATTAACATCGATGATTTACTAAATTTTACTGTTTTCATCAAAACGATTGTCACTTTCACACAATATGATATTAAAATGTTTGTATTTTTTGTTTGAGTATTAACTGATTTTTTATCTTAATGATCTTTGCAGAAGAACTGTCAAGAAAAATACAGATTTTTCGTGTCGCTTCAACATGGATACTGATCCACGTTGTCCCATCTTTTCTATTGGATATATTCTTCAAAAACTCCATAGCCAAGATTCGAAAATTGATCTAATAGATCTATATCACCAAGTAAGTATACTTACGAAGTGATTTGAAAAAGAACTAATATTGATTTTTCTTTAGGGTGGTCTCATTGAAATACAACAAAAGTGGAAATGTAATTTCGATTCTGATAGTGAAAAAAAAGAATGTTTTCCTACGTTCTATTTCAATTTATTACAAAGTGGAAGCGATGAATTATCTCCGGGTATCAATTATCGGTAGAACATATACGAAAATTTTATTTAATGACTATACATTCTTATTTTATTGATAGATTTGCTGAGAAATACAATATTAACAAAACAGAATATCGAACATTAACGAAAGTATATGGTCTTCGTTTTGTTTTATCGATTAGAGGTAAAGGAAGACGATTCGATGTTGTTCGTTTGTTTGTTGCAATCGGTAAGTGTTTCGATTTTTGTTTAAAAAGAAACTACTTAACTTCTCTAATCAGATCTATTTTCATGAATTTTTAAGGATCTGGAGTTGGTTACACGATATTTGCACAAATAATATGTGAAATTATTCTTAGGCGATGTCATAAATATCGTGATGAATATCGTCGACATAAAGTCAAAATATGTCGTCTAAATCTATCTACAAATAATAACAATCCGACAGATCTTGTACGAATATTTGTTTCTTATTGTATTTTTATTGAATTGTATTTTTAGGCAACAATAGTCGATACTTTTTTGGCTGAACCTTCAGTTCTACCTGAAACAATACGTCAATCTGATGTGTAGTAGAAACAATAGAAGAAACAGTTTATTAATTAATAGGATCGATAATCCAATATAAACCAACATTCTTTTTTTTTCTCAGAAAATTCGTTAAGATTCTCTTTTACTTACACTGTGTTAACATGAATACAAGTAACATGGTTCATACGTACTAAGCTCTCTACTGGAAGATATGAATCAGAGAAGAGCATGATATATCATCTATGCAAACACGCATACCTTCACTCACCCTCTATTAACTGTTGATATTCCTTGTTTTTTTTTATGTATTGTGTTCAATTCTTATCTTCTTTGAAACACTATATGCCATATGTCTAGTAAATAGTGAAAATTTAATTCAATAGCATGTATAATACAGATATATTTTTATTAGATTTTGCGACTAAGCTTATTTCTGTTTTATTCAACATATATATAGTTCTTATATAAATCTGTTAAACTAAAATATGTGTCATTAATATGGTTATTAGTATGAATAACTCCTGAGAATCCTTCATCTGAATATAATCATCAAGTATGAAAAAAATTGAAGAATTTTAACCGACCATTTCTAACTCTTTTCTCTGATTCCGATAAAATATTACAATCAATAGTACCAGGTGCCAAAAATCAATCACATACGATAATTACTGAAGCTGGACATTTCTTACCAGAAGATGAACCGCATGAAATTGTTGAACATCTTATCGAATTCATTAAAGATAATTCTTTAATAGTTACCCGATTATAACTGCAATGGCACTTAAATAAACTTTTGTTTTAATTTCACAGCAATATGAAAAGACTATTTCATCATTCATATTAAAAAGAATTTTCTTGAGTTTGATCATTAAGTAAAGACAGCTTCACAGAAAAATGAATATTGGTGAGATACATGAATCAACGAGAAAGCTGCAGCGCCATCTAACACAATATGTTGTAGCTAATTAAAGTGGGGTTTTTTGAGTAAAACTCAATATTTCAAAAATAGATAAAACAATTTAAATGAAAAAATCGGTAGTTTTTTACTAAAGGACCGCTTACTGTTGGTTTTGATAAAACAAAAATGATGATATGGGCTATATATACAACAGCGCACTTTATACAAGAAGAAAAGAAAAACACGTCTTGTTGTCTCTCCGATAAGCAAAGAAGAAAATGATGCCTGACAGTATATACCATATATTCTACTGCTTATTCATATATTTATTTTATATAGAAAGAAACAAACGGTTTAAAGTAAAAAGTAAGTGATAAACGTTGTTTTTGTTGGTTGACGTTAATTGTAAGAGAACGATGATTTTTCTATTGATTCTTGCTGTTATAATTCTACTAATATGGTATATGAAAATGAAATATTTTACTCTACGTGGTCCAATACCTGGTTTGTCACCTCATTTTTTCTTTGGCAATACAATTCAGTCTGGATTGGTATCGAAAGCCTTCAGTTTTCATGAAGTTTATGGGAAATTCAAAACTCGTTTTGGTGATGTTTTTCAATTTTGGCTTGGACCTTGGCGTGTCATTGTTGTAAGTAATATTGTTGATGTGCAACACATATATACTCATCGCAATATCTACGAGCAAGCTGATATGTTGGTGAAACAATTCACATTATTCCTTGATGATGCTCTCCTTTGTTTGAAAGGTTGATTTTTCTTCTTCTCTTCTTAGTGAAGATTTAATATCATCATTTGTAGGTGCCAAGTTCAAACGACACGCCTCACTCACTATACCCTTACTTCGTCGTAATAAAATTATTCCGAATTTTGACTTGATCATTGATTGCACTGATAAATTATTGTCACAATGGCGCGCCGTTCCTTCAAATCATATCCATCTCGATATCCCTCAACAGTGTCGAAATCTTCTTCTGCTCATATTTGGATTTCTTGCATTTGACTACGATTTGAAGACATTGGATAATACTGATAATAATGAACTCGCTCAAGCAGTTAAAGATTTCATGGAAAGTATTTATCCTGTTTTCTTTTTACCAAAATTCGCAGCCTTTATCTATCTGCGATTGAGTCGTCGATATCAACGAGCACGAACTATTATTCAACAGTATGTATATCGAATAATTGATCATGAATTGATTGATTGTTCAGAAACGACAGCAGAGCGGAAGAGAACAAGTTTAATTGCTTCGTTGGCTTCCGCATTACAAGATGATGAAAAAACAGAAATGGCTAAGAGTGAAGAAGAAAAAAAAGGTTAGATTTATTTCTTATAGTATATCATACTAACAGTAATCGCTCATTTATCTTTATTTTAATATAGGTCTCAATCGAAGTGAAGTGCTGCATGAAGTATTATTCTTTCTTTTAGCTGGTTATGAAACGACATCGACTGCTCTAACATGGTTTATACATCTAGCAAGTAAACATCCACGAGTCCAACAAAAAATCAAAGCAGAATTATTAGAAAATAATTGTAAGGAGGATTTGTCTGTGGAACATCTAGATTCATTGGTTTATCTGGATTGTGTTATCAAAGAAGTATTGCGCTTTTGTCCACCAGTTAATGGTTCAGCTCGTACATTAACAATGGATGATTGTCTACCTGAGAGTGGTACTCAACTATATGCAGGTGACGAAGTACTTATTCCATTTATGAATCTCGCACGAGATCCTCGATATTGGTCTATCGATCCAGAATTATTCTATCCCGAAAGATTTCTAGGTGAGGACAAAAATCATCAATCCCATGCATTAATACCATTCGGCGGTGGACATCGTCAATGTATTGGACAGGATTTAGCTCGATTTGAACTGAAAGTTATTATAGCAAGATTAATGCAACATGTGACATTTGGTGATGGTGGTCCGGAAGTCAATGCAGGTGGACATCTTCAAACAGCAACTATCTTGCCTAAACATATCGGTGTTACCATTCAATTCGAACAATAAAATGAACATATTTACATTCTTTTTTTTATGAATAGCCTTGCAACTCATTTAACCAAGAATATATACTGCATGAAATAGTACATCATCAGGCTTTTATTAATGTTTACGAGACAGAATTCGTTGTAATTGAAATCTTATGTGGAAAAGTTATCTCGTTACAAGCATATATAAAATGAGTAAAATTCGTAACGACAATTATCATATGATTTGATCTTATAAAGAAAGGAGTTTTCTATCTGCTTCAAATCGTTTACAATGATGTCAGTGTTTGCATGCATCTTTCCTCCTTTTATTAGAGTTGTTCTGAATTCCAAGTATTTGAGTCTAGGAAAAGGATTTGTGAGTATTCCCTTCACAATTATATGGATAATTGCTGCTGTATAAACACCATTCATGAATATTAAAGATGTAATATTATTGGATAATTGCTTTGATAAGTATTTAAAAAATATAGTAAACTGATAATAATTCTTTCTATATTCACCAGACCAAAATTCATGACATTTTAGATGTTGAATTCGATCTAAACACTCCGTCGGAAGAATTTGATATGATTCTTCCTTGATGCAAAGTAGCAGTTGAAGAGTATTTGCATTTTTCGATTGTTTTTATATCATCCAAATCTGTCTAGTAGCATAGGGTAAAGATTGATCAACATGAAGAATATCAGATATGGAAATAGTAAGCAGTGTTTGTCGAGTGCTACACCGAAAAATATAATGGGATTTTTCCATTGGTGGTGTTTTACTGATTATCTTTTTCAACGGATAATGATCAAAATCATCAGGTACTGGAACAGTTAAAATAGAATACTACGAGTCGGATAACTGTCAGACATTTTCAAACTCGGAGTCAGGTAGATAAATAGTATCGATTTGGTATCGTAAAGTATCACGACAAGTAAAGTTTTGAATGATGCTATTGAATACTTTTTCAAGATATATTCATCATACTTTGAGAATCTTCTTTTCACCCAGAGTGTTATCTGAAATTATCATTGTTTAATGATATCTTTCGATCTTTGTTTCTTTCGCACATTACGAGAATCAATCTCAATTATAGCTTTTATCAAGTCAGAAATTCCTAAATATTAAACTATCTCATTGATGATAATTCTTTTTTTAATACGAGAAGAATACACATTGAGGGTGTGGGTGGGTGTCAACATGAGAGCAATACAATACCCACACCCTCTTCACTACTTTTGATTGATTATCTCAATACTGAAGAGCATATATTTTCATCAGAAAACACTAAACTAAGCGATGTAAAATTTTACCAGGAAGTTTATCTATTGTTACAATTTAAACTTCGTCAATCAAATCTTTCAGAATCTGAACTGATAGAGTAAAACAAATATTTTACAGTCTCGTTTCTTTCGTAGAGATGGTAGGGCAAGTTTCATACGTTAAGGATCGAAAGCATGAAGCAATAATTAGACATAATTATCATTGCTATCTTTTATTCCGAAATATATTTTAATTTATTTAGAAATGTTTTCTTTTTACAATAATCGAAGTTCTCTCCTTTTAACGGACAGTACGACAACACAATACCATATTTATTTTTTGCGATGTTGCCATTTTTGATAGATACGTTCGGCTTGGTCTTCATTTACGGCTACATTTTCAGCTACATCATAGTTTATATTCGCCTCTTTCTCAGTGCCCATTGCGGCACCATTTGCACCGAAAGATTCTGTAGAAGTAGCAAATGCAAATGGAGCAGTACCGAATGCCGTATTTGAGGATGTGCCAGATCCAAATAGAGTCGACGTAGCTGCCGGTATAGTTTTCGATGACATTCCAAACGATCCAGATGTAGTAGTCGAAGGCGAACCAAATGTAAATCCAGAAGATGTAGATGCTGATGAAGTCCCCAATGGTGCACCAGATGCAAATGATCCAAATGGAGCGGTAGTTGAGGATGTATCAGATCCAAATAGAGTCGACGTAGCTGCCGGCATAGTTTCCGACGACATTCCGAATCCGAACGATCCAAATGTAGCAGTCGAAGGCGAACTAAATGCAAATGGCGGAGCGGTAGTCGAAATCGTAGAAAATATGGATGTATCAGTCGAAGGCGAACCAAATGTAAATCCAGAAGATGTAGATGCCGATG